AAGACAAGACCTAGTATATTGTGAGCTACGACGTTAGCTTACGTTATCTAATAGCAAAGAGCATTTCAAATTTACTCGTGTAAAAGACCTGTCTAAGAACTATGACGTCACTATAATTATTTCATGCATAATCTTAATTTAAACGTACAAATGCTTCAACCAAAGTACGCATTTCAGAACACAATGTGCAATATCTATAGTGTAATTTCTAAGTTCAATCAATTACGTTGATGGTTGCTTCATTTGTAATGGAAAAGAAACGATTATCGCAGCGTCGTGTAGACCTTGACACGACGCAAGTACATGCACACAATAGACGCTCGTTTTAACACGAATACTAAACTTTGTAATTATTTAGAAGAAAGTCTACGAGTTGATAAAAATGATCATATTTTTGACCGACTTCCCAAAAGAAGGAGGTACTCAATTCGTCTGTATTATTAGACAACTTATTTAATTGATACTGTCGCTTTAAACTCAGAGCAATACTTCTCGTCAAGACTCAAGTTACGCGCCAATCTATCCATACTTCTAGTGACATTGACAGCTGTCAGCTAGGGACGTGCCGTTTATGCCGATAATCTAGAGTTGCGCCAATTCTATAGCACAGTACTAATTTTATTCCTAACAGTATGTTTTTTTTAATCAACTTTTATGACATTGTTTTGTGAACTTTGTAATATACTTAGATTATTAGTTAAATGTTTTCTATTTCACTCAATTAAGGTGTTATTTTATCACTTGCAGCGGAGGTAGAAATAGAAGCTTACCATCTGGTGGCGTCTTCTCGATTGGGCGACAGCTCTGTGCTGTTGTTAGACAGTAGAGGCTGCCCTACGGGACAGGTTACATCCATAATTCTATAATTACTAATGATTCACGAGGAATAATTATTATAAAGCAATCCTAATTAAACAATTATAGGGTTGTAATTGGACACCGCTTCCGCAAGAAATTTTAACTCCGCATCCGCTTCCGCTTCCGTTTCTTCATATGCAGAGTTATAACGGAGGTTAATTTATGTCTTTAACGCGAGTGGGGCGATTGGGTATCGGCCCGCGCGGGTGTGCTAGGTCAACTAACTATAATTGTAATACATTATATTTGCATAACAAACTGTATCTTGTAATTATGTACCACTCTGTATTTTGAATTAAAGTAGTTTTAGTTTGTATTTCTTTAATAATTCGCAATTAATGTTTTATTATTGGCCTCCGCTTTCGCTTCCGTTAACCTCCACTTCTGCAGAGGTGAAACCCTTCACCTCTGCATCCGCATCCGATTCCGTTAAAATGGCCTCCGTTACAACCCTAAGCAATTATTTTGAAACGAGGATTTCTCTTGAAAAGATATTTTTTTTTGTTCTGAACTTCAAAACTTGTTAAAGAATTGTAAAAATTCTTTGTCCGTATATCGGTAGCTAATTTTTCAGTGCTTTATAAAGATATTTATCCTCTGATTATACTAGGTGGATTTCCCAGCGTTCAGTCGCAGTTGGCGCGGCGGCACACAGCGACTGTCCGCTAACTTCAAGGCGTTCCGTTTCCCCAACTCACATGTGGTGCGGTTCTCGCTCATGGTGCGATTCTGTCAGGACAAATGTAAACCGGTAAGTAAAATATTACAATATTTATACAATTATTATACTGAAAGCTGACCCCACTACCATCTATAGCTATATTAATATAATAAAGTGTAAACACACACTATGTTTTCAACAATAACAGCAAGTTTTTGAATAATTCTTTCTTTAATAAAAAGCCCTATACACGCTTTAGGCTAGACATTTTCACGCTATTAAACTTAGAGGCTAACTAAATTGGAAAACAACCATCATGTGGGAAAGGGACCATAAACTACAAGCTGCCAACATTAAGGAAGCAAGGTTATTATTGTAACGGTATTTAGACATTTGCAATTGACAAATGTAAACAAAATAAGGTTTTTATAATTTCATGCGGATGAATTAGCACACGAACCCGTTAGATCGTTAGCCCGCAATTTAAAATTACATAGTTACACAATGATTTGAATTATAAACTTTCGAATAACCCGCTTACTTTTTGTTTCCGTATAGGTAATATGCAGTTCGCAGCAAATTAGAACATCGCGGCAAACCGATGTTTGGAAGAATTGGTCTAACGACAGCGGAGTGCCGGCTGCGGTGCGACCTGTCGCGTGGGGCTCGGGGGCGGAGCGCGCGGGCGTTGTGGC